CTGCAGGATGGGAGAGAGAGCTGGGCTCTACCGTACCTCTAGCTCTGTCCCTGTGTGACCTGGGCAGTCATGTGACAGCTGGCTATATGGCCGTCTTCAGGAATGAACGCAACAGAGGCAGAACTAGCACACTCCTGGAGGGCCACTCTGAGCTGGGGCGCATGCGAGGATTGCCCCCCATGAATGACAGCAAGGGGAGTCTTGAGCAGGAGCACTGGTTTAAATCAGTTAAATGCACACAATTCCTCCCTGGTCTGCAGGTGCTTGATCCAGCCACATGTGTTCACAGGCTTGGTACCGACCTAACTGCACACATTCCACGGCTGTCTTCACCTGGCTCATGCCAATCGTCTCCCTGCCCACTCAGCTGCCACCTCCTTCAGGAAGCTCTCCCTGCTTTTCCTTGGGGCCCAGGGCTGCTCTCCTGTGGCTCTTGGCACGGGATGACACTATTCTGATCTGCGAGGGCAGCAGGTTCCTGACGGCCTCTCTTTGCGACTACAGGCTCAAGACACAGCTGCCTAGCTTTGCTCCTGCTCTTATCCTCGGGGTTCTGTGGCCTGGGACTTTGACGAGAGAGTCAACAGAGAAACCAATTTCTTCTTTTTCTCTAGCTGCCCAGGAAGCTCCAAGGTACTTGGTGACTCTTCCTGGAAAAATGACATGTCCTGTGGCCCAGCCATTGTCAAAGCCAGGTTGGAAGTTCTTCATGCGAGTTACATAATTAACCCAGTGGGCTCAGTGCCACAGATGGGGCACGCAGGTGAGTCTCCTCGACTGTTCCTAAGTGCCTGTTGTCACAGCCTCATCCTGACATCTTGAAAGCCAGTCTCCTTCAGCCAAGTCCTTCTCATGTGACATCCCTCTGGTTCTCCCTCTGCCTCCAGCTCTACTTTCTAGAAGGATCCTTGTGATCATGCTGTCCCCTCTTAGGCTGACACTCTTTCCAATCTGAAGCAAGCTGATTGGCAGCCTCAGTTCCATTGATGGCCTTCATCCCTTTGTCTTGTGCCACCTTTAATCTTGACTGTTAGCAGAATGGGGTTGAGACCACCCAGGGGACCAACACAGCTCACTCTGGGTGTGTCTCTGAGGATTAAATCAGGAGGGCTCCAAGACAATGAACAGTTTAATCCATTGATGGAATTAAACTGTGACAAGGTGGAATTAAAATTGAGACAGGGTGGAAGTGTGGAAGGTGGGGCCTGGCTGGGAGAAGTGGGCCACCAGCAGGTGTGCCTTTGGGAGTTGTCTCTTGTCCTGACCCCTCCCTCCCTGGGAAGGCTCAGCTCTGGCTCCTGGTCATCACAGTGTGAATTGCTTTGCTATGATGGACAGCAGCCTCTGAAACTGGCTTTCTCCTTCCTTAGGTTGTTTGTATAGGGTATTTAGTCTCAGGGGTGCAAAAACTGATGAATGAGCCATGCCTTTACCGCAGACTCAGGGTCTGGGAAGTAGAAAGTAGAGAGCCCTTTTCAGGGGAGGTGGTGGAGATCACTTTTCTGCCATCCACGCTAGCACTGTGAGGACTTCACAACAGTGGGGGCCATTTGTAGAGCTGGAAGACTCGCTGAGAGTTCATATTTCCCTTGTTTATATGGCAGAATTCAAGGCTCGGAGAGGCTTGGGTGCTGAGCCGCAGGAGGTAGGTCAGTCAGGGTCCTGTGCCATTTCACCTGCTTAGAGGGACCAGGCCATGGAGGAGATGGAGACACCGTGTGTCCGTGGGGTGATGAGAGCAGACACTGTCCCAGCACTGGCCACCTGATGACCACACCCGGCTTTGGAAGACAGATATGCTCACTACTGTACCACCAACACTGCACAAACACACCAAGCTTTAGTGTTTCAACCTCTTTGCTCCTCCTCACATGCCCTAAGTGAGTTGAGAATCCAAGCTTTGCTCGGACCATTGAAACCCTTTGTTCGAAAGCAGAGTCCAGCTCCTCTGGGATGGTTAGGGCTGAGGCCCAGATAGTCAGACCTGCACGGACCCTCCATGCCGAGGTAAAAATAGATGAAGGCACAGAATAGGTACAGCTGTTGGTCTCAATGCTCTGCCTTAAAGAATGCAGCATGATGTGTGCATGCCTGTCCTTCTGCCGTTCCATCTCCCTGACTGTCCTTCCATGAATGAAGCATGCAGGCAGTTCCCAGCAACCTTGGGGCTTTCCCTTAGCTCACGCATGCTGGAGGTTTGTCATCCAACTTTCAGGGTATTTTCTTCATGCACCAATTTATCTCCATTTTCTTATTATACTTCCCATGGCTGCTTATATACACCCACAAGCTATCAAACTCTGGAGCTACCACATGGTTCTTGCAGCTGATCTCAGTCACCAGGTCAGTCTCATTCTCGGTCTATAGGGCAGAGTGTGGCAGTAGTCGGGCGCCACCACTCATTGCCCTCTTCCTCTGGAGCAGACCCTGGCATTGCAGCGACAGAGGGCTGAAGAATTACATTCCCAGGCTCTGCTGCAGGGAGGATAGGCTGTGAGATCATGTTCTGTCCAAGGGGACGTGAGCAGAAGAGACACGGTCACAGGGAATTCTGAATCCTTGTTTCTCACTTGTTCTCTCCTGGCTGGAATGCAGGGTGATGGCAGCCTCTTTAGAAGATGATCCCCAGAGGCCCTCCCTGGTCCTGATCTATGGGACATCTATCTGCCCGTCACATTTCCCATGATGACATTTCACTTATACTCAGTTAAAAAAATATCCTCTCTCTTGGGATGGGGTTAGGCTCTTGTGTTGTGGAATATTATTTTAATGATATCAGGATGTGGAATGTTTGGTTATGTTGCATTTGTTTAATTATGTAAAGATGGGTTGCATTGGTTTCACCTTGCCTGCCTGAGGTACCTGATTGATTGGTCTAATAAAAAGCCAAATGGCCAATAGCTAGCTAGCCAGGAGAGGGATGGGTGGGGCTGGTGGGCACAGAGAGTAAGAAGGAGAAGCAATCTAGGCAAAAGAGAGGAGAAGAGAAAGAGAGAGAAAGAGAGGGACACACTCAGGGCCAGAAGCCAGCCAGCTGCCAGCCAGCCAACATGGAGACGGCAGGAAAGTAAGAAATACTAAAAGAGAGTTTAAAATCCCAAGACAAAATGTAGATAAAGAGAAATAGATTAAAATAAGAGCTAAGATAAGGCCAAACATTCACAGCTAATAATAAGTTTCCATGTCATGATTTGGGTTGGTGGCCTAAAAAAAAAAAAATCCTGTTTCACTCTTGTCTCCAGTTTAAGGCTCAGACAGTGACTCTTAAATAACTAAGACCAAGAACTAGGACTTGATCCTTGGCCACTGTGAACTAAAAATGGTTGAGTGGAAATGTCTGAAAGGGCCTGCGGGACCTATTACATCCATGACCTTTCTATGTGTCTTTTACCCTCTGAGTGTGTATAGAGCCTCCTCCCACTGACTACGAACTCGGTCATGTGATTTCAGATTAGGATATTGAAAACATGCATGCATCTCCCACTTCCTGTCTCAGAGACTGGTGATCTCCATGAACATATTCCTGAGCTGGTTTGCTGGAGGCTGAGCCATGTGGAGAAGAGCTGCGGCTACCCTTGGTCAAATTGCTGGCCACTGGATAGGTAAGTGTACCTCAGTTTACTCTAGGAAGGATTTCAAGGCCAAATCCTATCCTGATTAACAGAACCACACAGCTGCTCTCCGGACTCATAAGCAATAACAAATGCTGCTATCTTGAGTTTTGAGGCATTTGTTATGCAGTATCAATGGAATATGAAGTATTAATGGAATAGCTGACTGTTACAAGACCCTGTCCCACAGTATTTTCAACAGACTGGGCAAGTGTATTTCTTGCCCAGTACCAAGCAATGAGCCAGGAAATGCAGTGTGCATCTGGTTCAAGTTCAGTGCTACCGTTGGCTTCTCTGTGTCATTGGCCACATGACCTGATGTTCAGCTTCTGTCTTTGCCTTTGCCGTAAGCAGGACTAGAAGTATGATTGGTTTTCTATGGTTATGAGGATCTAATGAGCTAATCCAAGTGAGTGTCAGTCCAGATGGGCCACTCATGGATGATGTCTCTCCATCTTTTTCTATTAAGACAGCCTCTCACTCTGTAGCCTAGACTGGCCTTGAACTCATGGGGATCCTCCAGCCTTAGCCTTCAGAATATTGGGATTGCATGCATGCTCCATCACACCTGGATTTTAGTTTTCTTTGGAGAACTGGAGATGGAACACAAGGCCTCACATAGGCTTGGCGAGTAGCACACTGCCTAGGCTCAATACCCTCAGACATGTCTGTCCATCCTAACAGACCACCCAGGTCACTCCAGGAGGGCAGGGATGCCATCTTATGCTCCTGTCTTTCCCACTGCCTGACAGAACACCCAGCATGTCAAAAGTTGGCTGAACATCTGGTGTGAAATTGGTACTGTTATTAATGGAAATTAATAGAAATGTAGATCTCAGTATTCTATTTCAACCCAAGGCCGGGATCTCAGTAGCTTTGTTCTTTTGGCCACGTGGAGGTATAGTATTTATCAAGTTTTATGACTTAAAATGTATATACTAAACACACACACATGCATACAGACACACGCATGCACACACACATGTGCTGGGCTGTGAAATCAGACTGCAGAGCCTCATTCCTTGAATTTCACATTGCCCATTCTGACTATATAGAACTGATGCCTTCCTCAAGGTCCCTGTCTTAGCTGGGCAGGCTGAGAGGAGTTTGTTTCCAGGAGAGGACTCGATTTCTTACATCAAGCCCAGTTGCTTTCTGGAATCAAATCTCTTAGCCTCTCTTCAGTCACTGTCTTCACATTCCAGAGCCTCTGCTATCTGTCCAGTGTCTGCAGGCGGGGAGCAAAGAGAGCGGCTGTCCCACAACACCCAACCTGGTGCTTGCAAAGATGGCTGCTGCTTTCCCTGTCTGGCTTCCTGGTTCTCAGCACAGCATCCTGCTGAGGTCCAGGCATAGGCAGGCACTGTGTGATGGAAGCAAAGGACCCACCTCTCATGGCTCCTGCCTCGTCATCCTTTTCAAGGAGGAGGTAGCGTGGGCTCTCAGGGAGAAATGGCAGGCTTGCCAGCTGGACCAAGGCAGGAACAACGATCACTCCAAACAGGTATGGCCAGGTGCTCTCCTGCGGGGAGAAGACTCTGCTGATGGAGGAGGACTTTGGTTGATTTATTGGGGACATCGGACTAAGCAGCTTGGACACCACAGGAGGCCTCTCTGCTCAGCTTGTCCACACTGCTAAGGGGAGGAACAGAGCAGATGAGACAATGGCTCTATGCACACAGCATCTTCCACACCAAGTTGATGTGGAACCCTCAGCATCTCCATGAGATGATGACCTAGCACATCTCTGAAAAGAAAGTAGATCCTGGCAGCCAAGCCACCCAAGGAGTACCAGAGATGGCTGCTTCCCTCACTTGGACCACCACAGCCAACCTGGGGTCTACTTGAATCCCCTCCACTCCTTCAGCATGGCTCCTCCCAGGTTGCCATGGGCATGGAGACAGACTTGCTTGAGTGTGAACACTGGACCAAGACCCCTGTGCAGTGCCCACCATTTTCCTATTCTCAATGAAGATAGGGGAAGGAAGGATGGCATGGTCTCCCAGGCCATCCCTGGGGACAAGGAGCCCTTATGTGTGAAGGATCTTCACTTTCCAGGCAGTAGGGAAGAACAAATGTCCACCTCCAACACGTGCCATCAATTTACTGGGTGCAGTGACTCCCATCCAGTGCAATTTAAATGCAGAGTGGAGCATAAATTCTTGTGCCCATCAAGGTACCATTCTTCACTGTCTGTCACCCAGTTTTACAAATATGCTCCCACTATGTGTCCTGCATAGGAGCAAGCCACATAGGCAGTGTTGATGGGGAGGATGAAGGCTTTGGCTCTAAGGTGAGCCCTTAGCATGTTTTATTGCCTAAGACAGGAAAAGGAAATCGTCCAGGAAAGGATGAGACACGCTGGAACTAGAAAAGACTTCACACGATGGGCAGAGGTCTGCTGGCTTATTCAGAGCCCTTGGGTGTCTGTGACTGCTTGTCCTCAGGCAATTGCCACCTGTGACAGCTCTCAGGAGGGAGAATGTCCCTGTCAGCTTTTCTGAGGCCCTCTGTGGAGCTCTGATGGCAGAGAGCCCACGAGAGTTCCAGACATTACCAAGGTGGTGCGGCGGGGACCTCTGAAGTACAGGGCAAGCTGGAGGGGGCCTATTGGGGCTCTCAGCCAGTGCTGGCTCAGTCATCATCTCCAAAGTGACTCCAGTCCTCCTCCCCTTGCTGAAGCTAGCAACTACTGCTATTCAGAGGCCAGCATGGTCCTTGCATGTCCCTTTGAAGGACAGGCAGTGCAAAGCTGGGCTTTTCAGCTTGGGGAGGCTTGTGACTAGAGGAGCATGCAGCGAGAGAAATCAGGCGGTCCGCGGAAGGTCAGAGAGAAAAGCATGGGTGGGAGTGCCGAGGGTCACGGACGGGCTCTGTTCACGCACCATGGAAGAGTCTGAATATAGATGGGCTCTAGTGGTACCATTGTGACTATTCTAAAAACTACAGGGGTTTTAGTATAAGCTGGCATATATTTCAATGAACAATTTTTTTATTAATAATTTCCACCTCCTCCCATTTCCCTCCCCCTCCTCCCACTTCCCCTCCCCCTCCCTCTCCAGTTCAAAGAGCAGTCAGGGTTCCCTGCCCTGTGGGAAGTCCAAGGTCCTCCCCACTCCCTCCAGGTCTAGGAAGGTGAGCATTCAAACAGACTAGGCTCCCACAAAGCCGGTACATGCAGTAGAATCAAAACCCAGTGCCATTATCGTTGGCTTCTCAGTCAGCCCTCCTTGTCAGCCACGTTCAGAGAGCCCAGTTTGATCACATGCTCCATCAGTCCCAGTCCAGCTGGCCTTGGTGAGCTCCCACCATCTCAGTGGGTGGGCACACCCCTCGCGTCCTGACTTTCTTGCTCATGTTCTCCCACAATGAACAGGGTCTGTCCTTTCTGCCTGTACATTCTGTGCCCAGAGGTGCCACCCACCGAGGATCAGAAATATGTATCTGTGTTGAACATTCATAGGCAGACCTTCTTCTCTGTCATCACTCCCTAAGCAATATGGTGCACCAACTATTTACATGACATTTGCATGATGTTAGGCATTATAATGAGTCTCAAGATGGTTTGAGGTATATGGGAGGACATGCGTAGGTTATAAGCAAATATCACACCAGGAGCATTCAGATAAGGAGCAGTAACAGCTACCATAATCGAGGAAGGCCTTTCAGCCCGGTGCAGGTCACCCACTGAGTGGTAAGAGTCCCTGCTCCTGAGCAGGCAACTGGGGAATCTGTTTATACTCCGGTCATTATGGCCATGGACAAGCATCCTAAGATGTCCTGGGAGGAGCTTCAAGGCCACAAGCCAGAGGCTTGCAGCTCAAGCCAGATGAGCTGGATTTGACTTTCTGTCTTTCTGGTGCACTGTCTGTCCATGGTGCTCCTTGGCATTATACCCAAATGAGTCAAGAACCCAGCATGTCCCCCTGCAGTGGGACCCAATAGCTGCTTTCTACTGAGAAACAAGTAAGAGCAGGGCGAGGGGAAGATGGATTTCTCTTATACACTGACCAGTTTCAGGGCCCTTTTTCCTATTCCTGGAGGGTAGCCTCAGCTTCAGGCTGTTTTCAGAAGTATTTTTCAAAACATATAATTCAAGGTAACCATGTGACAGCAAATACTGCATTCTCTCTTCTGCATCCTAGATTCGAGCCATGGATCTGGGTGGGAGGAAATGTGGGCAAAGACTGGGAAACTAGAAAGAGTCCCACAAAAAGGGAAAAATAGGTTTCACGGGAGGGCAGTGAGTGGGGAATAATAGATGACTTATGAGAGGGGAAGGAAGTACAGGGGACAGAGGGTGTGGGGGCGGCAGGAACATGCGGCATAAGAGTGTGGAAAGGGGAATCACACAAAACAAGGTATGCACGAAATACCCTAAGGACACCTGCTTCTCTATACACTAATTAATCAGACAACCATACGTGACTCCCCTGGGGAGGCCCAAAAGATACCGCAGGAATCGCCTCTGAGGAGTCTTTGTGCGGCCAGTTGAGATCTGCGATAATGGGAAGGGACACAGGGCTCCATCTCAGTGGCTTTGGGTCAGGGTCCTGGTACCCACTGTTCTCATGAGGACTGGTGTGGGTCATCCTGTTGGCCAGGACGATGCCTAACTCCCTGTTGGGGAAAGTTTGTGGGTCTTCTAGCTGTGTTCTGCTCTTTCAACTGCAAGCCCTTGGCTTCAAAGCTAGACTTCTAGGCTATTTCTCCCAGACTCTCGAAGATTTTGACCCTTGCTACAAAGCCCTTCTGGACTGGACTACTACGAAACAGCAGACATTTCTAAGTAGAGTAGGCACTGTGGATCTTACAGAGTCAAGTTCTTAATTTAAGCATGCAGAGATCCCAGAGGAATGAACTAGGGGAGCTGAATGTGGCCAGGCCACATCGGCCACTAGCCGGAGCAGCTTTGATTGCTTATGGGGGTAACATGTAGAGACCCTGACCACTTCCAAGGCTCCTTGGAGATGCAACAGGATGTTCTTCATATTTCTTCATACTCTTAGTCTGATTAAAGAAGGCTGATGGTTATGGGAGTGGGCTGTGTTCTCTATGTAGCTCCATGAAAAGCAGTATTGTCCTGTTTTCCAATGTTCTTTTTTCCAGTGGACTGCAATTCTTGAGAGCCATCCCTAGTCTTTTATCTCGAAGCATCTGCCAGTGCTTGAAGCCTGGTAGATGTTCAGCAGGTGCTGGAAGACTGTTGGGTGAGGTAAGTGGTCACAAAGACCATCGATGCTGTCGCTAGAGATGACACACACCCCCAGCCATTCTTGAAGTATTTCTTTTGAAATTTAAGCCTTTCCTTAAAGGGCCGACACTCTCCAGTAACATATTTCCCTGTGCAGCATTCCTATGGTTTCAGGTTTGTAGGAGAGAAATATGAGCCCTGAAAGGCCAGGGAATGCATGTGACATCCCTCGAGAAGCTGGGGGACTCGCTGGGTGATTGGTTAACTCTTCCGACCCCAACTTAGGTTCTTCCCTTGTTAAGCAGAGTGGCAGCTCTCTTAGGCCTACCTAGGGAATCTGAGTATTGGTTCTATTCGGCTAAATCAGTGCCCTGAGCAGAATTCAGCAGCGAGCACTCAGACTCAGCTCCAATGCTCACCACAACACGGTGGGGTAGAGAAGGGGAGAGACGGGTGCAAGTATCAGCCATTCTGTGAGGCTGACAGTGTGTGCAAAGCGGGGCCACCTTGACCAAGTGGCTGTGTTGCACACAGGGGTGACCTCAGAGTGTACAGGAACTGAGATTCAGAAGGCAAATGGCTCCATTAGCAAACGACCACAGAGCTCCAGTGACCTTATGACTCCCTCCTTTAGCCACTTCTCAAGGAAGGGCCCTGGTGCGGAATAGCAGTCTTTCGTCACCTCCGAATCGGTCCCCAAGAGTCCATTCCAGCTTCTAAAATATCACATCTGCATTTCTTACAATCAGACGTTATATTCTAAATATTTTCAATGTGTATCCACGATCTGATTCTCTTTCTGCACTGAGAGGGATTCTTGTACAAGTTATATTATCATCCCCTTTCCCTCTGTTACAAGTAACGACAAGACAGACAATCCAAGGACACAACACTTACAGTGCCCCCTGTGGGGCCCCCATACTCCTATACAAACAATGCTCCTTCCATTTCTGGTTCCTACCACCACTTCCTGTTTGCAGAATGATTTTCCTGTCTTCTGCCTTGTTTGGTTCTCAGGTGATCTCACAGCAAAGATCAGCCTCCATTATTGTCTTCTTATAGATAAGGAACCTGAGGCTTCTGGGAAGTCCGACAGCAAAAGTTACCCATAAACCAACTTTATTCTGCTCCTATTTGAAAGAGAGTCAAAATCCCACACTGGTTTTGAAGGCCACTAACCCTATGAATTGTCCCTGGCCAGTCTATTAGATGGGACATTGTTGAGTTTGTACAAATTTACTGTCTTTGGCACCCCTGCTAGGGCTCCTGATTCTCAGCTGAAGAAACCAAGGTAACAAGAATTCCTTTTTACTCCACTGACAATTGTA